CACCCCAACCAGTCGCAGATGGCCCCGCCCCTCCCTGAGCCTGGTTCTGCTGGAGGTTTCTTCCTGTTAAAGGGGAGTTTTTCGCCAAAGTGCTTGCTCATAGGGGTCATATGATGGTTGGGTTTTTCTCTGTATGTATTATTGTAGGGTCTACCATACAATATAAAGTTCCTTGAGGCGACTGTTGTTGTGATTTGGCGCCGTATAAATAAGAAAATAAGATTACACAGTATATTCAAAATGATGATGTTAAAGTTTTCTCTTCCTGTGTGTGCAGAAATCAGCTGGATCCATCTCTAGTGCTGACTGTGGGGTCACCAAGGTGTGCTTCAGTCAGCCTTCAAACTGTGACCCAGCAGTCAGTTCTAACTGTTATTTCATGTCAGCCATGATGTTAGCCGGTGGCGAAGCTGTCCACTTTGAGATGACTGGTCCTTATGAAGGATACATCGCTTTTGGATTCTCTGATGATCAAAGAATGGTAATGTAAAGACAAAATTATCAGTCCTCTGAAGCTAAAGTTAGGTTTTTGTTTATTTGTTTGTTTTTTAAGCAATAACAGCAATAAGCCTCTTGGTGTATTTGCATTGCATCTGTTGGTGTAAAGCTGCTGTAATGCAGTCCTTGTTCACTTACCTCCAATTTGCATATTTCCTATAGGATTAATAAAATATTCTGATGATTCCCACCAATTTTGTGAGCAATGCTAAATCATTCACAACTTGTAAAACAAGCCAATTCATTCCAAATTTGTCTTTCCCAAGGGAAATGATGACATTTACGTTTGTGTTATGAAAAGCAATGGACAAGTGGAGGTGGAACATATGTATTCAACAGGACGATCAAAGCCACAAGTTCTTCCTCTGGTACTACATTTTTTCTGATAGCAGCGATTTATACAAGGCTAGAATGTTTCCATTCAGTTCTGTGGAAAAAGTGAACTGCATGTGTATTTTTTCCATTTTACTCCATAAATTACATCTGAGATTTATGTGTGTTTGGTTCCAACAGGGGAATGTTTATAATACAACAACGTCATTGCAGAACAGTGTCATCAGTTGTGTCTTCACTACCACAAACACAATTTCTATTGAGGGGACTTCTGGTTTCAACCAATCCTACTACCTCTTGTTTTCCTATGGACCCAGCAACAATGGTAACATAATTTGATGTGTCAGATGGTTTGTTACACCAAACAAGTCAGTCTTTTAAACAGTTTGGAAAGGTCTCTTTCAAATGATACTTTGCAGGCGATCTAATAAGCGCGTGTTTTTATTATTGTTTACAATTGTACTCCAGTAAATACTTTTACTTCGAACGGTTATGCAGCGCCTTTGACTGTGGTTCCTTTTCCAATAATGTAAAAAGTGTCAAATGAGTTCATTTTTAATAACTCTGTCTCTACCAGGTTATGAAAATGAAACTTGTTTCATAGGCATGCAAACCTTACCAATCCTAACCCAGCTTGTATCTAAATAGTAGATTACAAACTTACACCTACTCATGCATTAGCTGAATGTATTATATGCACATAAAGCTGATGCCTTTTGGCCATATTCACTTTCACCTTTTTTTTCATTATTCCAACCTATGGGTTTTTTTCTAGGCATGTTACACTTTTTTTTTCACATCAAGTTCAATGTCAGACTATTTCCTTTTATGTATTATTGACTCATGAATCCCGCTTTCAATTTATGCCACCACAAGAGAGAGATTGGTTGTGGTATGTGGAAACGTATTCATAGCTTATTCTGTGAAATTTAAATGTTGGTGTGGTTAAATGTTATCCTGTGTGACACTCACACATGCATACACGTATACAAGTGTCTGTAAACTTTGATATATCTTTCCTACAGGATCAATAACATTCCATGTGGGTACCTTCACCAGCAATAAAAGGATCAATATTAATAATCCCCTTGTTGTTGGCAAAGGTGATGTTCCTGATATCATCAAAGCTCATGGTAAGACCTTGCACGAAGTGATACGTGTAAAATAAAAATGTTTTTTAGTCCAAAATAATCTCACAAGTCCTTTGTCATATTTTGCTAACCTGTTCACAGCTAAATGATTTGAAAGTGCTTGGAAGATAAATGCTACCAGGAACTTCATTTCATTTGTACTTTTAGCACGATTAAAGTGTTTAATCTATAAAACTGAGTAGACTCGCAGTCCTTTAAATTGAACTGCACATGTTACACGAAAAAGGAACCAAAACCAAAGGTTGGACACATTAGATGGGTGGTCTCTTAACAATAACTGTCCTTTTTCATGAGACAAGGATATACAAAACAGTCATTTATAACAATCTTCAGATGTTTGAAAACTAATTGAATTTTGAAGATGTGAAAAACATTTCTGTGCCGCTTTTCTGCTAATGGTATACCTGTAATTATGGCATTGGACTCAGTTTCTTGGCCCAAGGTTGCTGTTTGGCTGCTCACTGTCATATTACCTTTGCTCTGTTGACTCATTAGTTTAAATCCAAAATTTGACTCTAAATTTTTAGTCAGTT